GGAGGTTGCTGTGAGCTGAGATGCCACGGCACTCTACCCAGGGGGACAGCTTGAGGCTCTGTCTCAAAAAACAAACAAACAAACAAAAAAACCCCCCAAAAACCCAAAATTACTGGTTAACTCTAAACAATTCACAAAGGCCTTAACTTCTTTACCCTTATCTGTAAAATGGGGATTAAAAAGCCCTCCACGAAAGCTGTTGTGAGGAGTAACTGAGGTGACACTGGTGAAGCTTTTGCACAATACTTGGCCCACAGCAGGCCCTCTACAAACATTGGAACATTCCTTTTCTTTCCCTTTCTTGTCAGTTTCTCCCACCTCAGAACCAGCATTCTAACCCAGGTTCAGCCCCTTTATTAGCTGAATGATCTTGTGCAAGTCACTTTCCCACTGTAGGCCTCGCTTTATTTTTCTGTAAAATAAGAAAGTTGGCCTCTGACCTCCAAGCACGCTCCCAGGATCGAAATGGGACTGTGAAGTTCACGGAGCAGCTTTTCTCCCCCGGGACTGATGGTACGTTCCCCGGGCAGCTCCCTCACCCCTCCGTCGCGGACCTTGGTACAGGCCCAGGGGGCCCTCCGCGGCCTCTCAGGGCTGCCCTTGCCCCCTGCCGAGTTCCGGGCCCGTCCCTGCGCAAGCTGATTGGCTGGAGCGGTGCCCGGGCTGCGCGGCTATAGGTGAGCCCGGGAGGGGACGGGCGGAGCGGGCTAGAGACCCGCCCCCTTCCCCCTGGGTCGGACGCTGAGCGGAGCTGCGGGCGGGAGGGCTGACGGACCGACTGACGGGAGGGACCGGAGGCGAGCAAGATGGCGCAGACGCAGGGCACCAGGAGGAAAGTCTGTTACTACTACGACGGTGAGCACTGTCTTCGCGGCGGGTGCGGGGCGGGGCCGGGGAGAGGGCGGCTGAGGCTGGAGCACTGGGAGGGAGGCTGCGGGGAGCTGAGGCGTTGGAAGCTGAGGCCGCGGGGAGAGGGAGGCTGAGCGAGGAGGCTGAGGGGGAGGAGGTCGAGGCTGAAGGAGGAGGCTGAGGGAAAAGGAGGTCGAGGCTGAGGCCGAGCTGGGATCGTGTGGGGGAAGTCTGAGGTAATCCTGGTGAGGAGATTCAGAAGTCTGATGGGGAGAGTTTGCATGGGACTCTTGGAAGGGAGGCTGTGTCTGCGGCGGGAGGCAGAATCTGATGCAGACGGTTGCAAGATGTATTTTCCTGCTCAGCATACAAAGCTCTTTCACTGTCCCGTTACCACCTCATCTTATTTTGGTGAGAGTCCTGTAGGACTGGTCACTCGATTCCCCTCCCCCAGTCTCTGAACAGGGCCTGCAATTGCTGCTGCGACATGGGGCGCCTGGGATTGGAACGGGAAGGATGCAACCTGCTAAAACAGACTTTTCATTTAACAAAATCGCTGGAGCACCTTACTCCGTTCTAAGTAGTGCTGAGGTGCTTGGGCCATGCGGTTGAGGATGATCAAGTCCCCTTTCTTTTTTTCAGCTCACAGTCTAGAGAGGAAGATAGACGACTACAGAAGTACTCTCCAGTGTCAGTGCTGGGGTGGAGGAGAGCTCTGAATGCTAGGGGAGCATAGAGAAGAGATGCCCAATCTAGCTTCAGTCATCAGGGCAGGAAAGGACATCTCAGGACAGGAAGGGACTTAGCCATCTAAAGTTCCTAGCCAGGCCCAGAGTTCTTAGCCGGGCACGAGGAAAGTAGAGGTAACAGCAAGCTCAGAGGCAAGAGAGAGGATAGCACCTTGAAAAATCAGCAGGCTATTTGTACAGTATGTCTGAGGGATACATTTGGGGGCCTAGTGCAGAAGGCAGGTAGCAGGAGTGAGGGGGAGGGTTGCAAATGAAGAGGCTGAAGAAGTAAATAGGGACCAGATCATGAGGGCTGGGCATACCATCCCAAGGAAATTGAACTTTATTCTGAGGGCACTTGTGAATCATTAAAGTTTTATGCAGGTTAGTGACATCATTAGGTTTATATCTAAGAAATAGCACTCTGGGAAAGAAATTAAATTCATGAATGTAGGGTAGCCAAGAAAGCATGGATCCCAACTTTCTGGTGTGGGCAGTTTGATGGTGGGTATTTGGAGAAGACCATGTTGGTTGATGACTTTAGGGTATTTCTTTCTCTTTTTTTTTTTGCGACAGAATTTCACTTTGTTGCTGTTGGTAGAGTGCTGTGGTGTCACAGCTCACTGCAACCTCAAACTCTTGGGCTTATGGGATTCTCTTGCCTCAGCCTCCCAAGTAGCTGGGACTACAGGCACTTGCCACAACTTCTTTGTTGTTGTTGTTTAGCAGGCCCAGACCGGGTTTGAACCCACCAGCCCCCACTGTATATGGCCAGCACCACTATGGGCGCTGAGCTTTTTTTTTGAGACAGAGCCTCACTTGGTCACTCTTAGTAGAGTGCCATAGCATCTTAGCTCACAGCAATCTCCAACTCTTGGGTTCAAGTGATCTTCTTGCCTTAGCCTCCCAAGTAGCTGGGACTAAAGGCGCCTGCCACAACACCTGGCTATTTTTTAGAGATGGGGTCTCACTCTGGCTCAGGCTGGTCTTGAATCTGTGAGCTCAGGCAATCCACCCACGTTGGCCTCCCAAATGCTGGGATTATAGGCGTGAGCCACCAAGCTTGGCCTGTTTTATTTATTTATTTGTTTATTTTTTGAGACAGAGTTTTACTTTGTTGCCCTTGGTAGAGTGCTGTAGCGTCACAGCTCACAGCAACCTCCAGCTATTGGGCTAAGGCGGATCTCTTGCCTCAGCCTCCTGAGTAGCTGGGACCAGAGGCACTTACCACAACGCCCAGCTATTTATTTTGTTGCAGTTTGGCCGGGGTCAGGTTTGAACCCACCACCCTTCGTATATGGGTCCTACTCACTGAGCCATAGGCACCACCCCTGTTGTTGTTTTTTTTAAGAAATAACTATTGAGGAGCCAGGCATGGTGGCTCACGCTTGTAATCTTAGCACTCTGGGAGGCTGAGGCAGGTGGATTGCTTGAGCTTAGGAGTTTAAGACCAGCCTGAGCAAGAGTGAGACCCTGTCTCTACTAAAAATAGAAAAAATTAGCTAGGCATTGTGGCAGGTGGCTGTAGTCCCAGCTACTTGGGAGGATGAGGCAGGAGGATCATTTGAGCCCAAGAGTTTGAGGTTGCTATGAGCCATGGCATTCTACCCAAGGCGACAGAGTAAGACTCTTGTCTCAAAAAACAAAACAAAACAAAACAAAAACTATTCAGATGACAAGGGAACATTCAAGTAGAAGCATTCAGTAGGCAGTTTAGAAGACAGAAGTGAGGAAATAGAGATTTGTGTCTTAGTCCATTTTGTGCTATGAGAACAAACACTACAGACTGGGTAATTTATTTTTATTTATTTTTTGAGACAGAGTCTCACTGAGTGCCATGGTGTCAGCCTAACTCACAGCAACCTCAAACTCCTGGGCTCAAGCCATCTTCTTGCCTCCACCTCCCAAGTAGCTGGGACTAAGGCACATGCCATGATGTTTTTTTGTTTTATTTTGTTTTCCTTCCTTTTCTTTCTTCTTTCCCTCCTTCCCTCCCTTTCTTCCTTCTTTTTTGGATACTCTTTGGCTTAACTGGATTGGAACTCCTGACCTCAAGTGACCCTGCCTCAGGCTCTGAAATTGCTAGGATTACAAGTGCGAACCACTGCACCCAGCCTCTACAATTTTTTTTTTTAAAATTATCAGGGCTTGGGCGTGGCACCTGTGGCTCAAGTGGCTAAGGTACTGGCCACATACAGCTGAGGTGGCGGGTTCCAATCCAGCCCGGGCCCGCCCAAAAACAATGATGGCGGCAAAAAAAAATAGCAGGGCGTTGTGGTAGGTGCCTGTGGTCCCAGCTACTTGGGAGGCGGAGGCAGGAGACTTGCTTGAGCCCAGGAGTTGGAGGTTGCTGTGATCTGTGATACCATAGCACTCTACCCAGGGGGACAGCTTGAGGCTCTGTCTCAAAAAAAAAAAAAAAAAAATTATTACAGGCTTGGTGATGAGTGCCTGTATCTAGCAACTTGGGAGACTGAGGCAGGAGGATTGCTTGAGCCCAGGAGTTTAAGGTTGCAGTGAGCTATGATCATGACAGTGTACTCCAGCCTGGGCAACAGAATGAGATTCTGTATATGGGACCGGCGCCCTACCCACTGAACCACAGGTGCCTCCCTGTCAGCCCCTTTTATAAGGGTGTTAATCTTGTTCATGTGGATGGAGCCCTCATGACCTAAACACCTCCCCAAAACCTTCCACCTCCCAACACTGTTGGCAATAGAGATTAAGTTTCCAACACATGAATTTTGGGGGACACATTCAGACTATAAGAATCTCCATAGAGATAGTAGTTTTATTTATTATTTTTAGTGACAGAGTTTCACTCTGCTGCCCTCAGTAGTGTGCCGTGGTGTCACAGTTCACAGCAATCCCTAGCTCTTGGGCTTAGGAGATTCTCTTGCCTCAGCCTCCGGAGTAGCTGAGACTACAGGCACCTGCCACAATACCCGGCTATTTTTTTTTCTTTTTTTTTTATAGAGACAGTCTTACTTTGTTGCCCTCCATAGAGTGCTGTGACATCACAGCTCACAGCAACCTCCAGCTCTTGGGCTTAGGTGATTCTCTTGCTTCAGCCTTTTGAGTAGCTGGGGCCACAGGCACCCGCCACAATGCCTGGCTATTTTTTGTTGCAGTTTTGCCGGAGCTGAGTTTGAACCTACCACCCTCGGTATATGGGGCCAGCGCCATACTCACTGAGCCACAGGCGCTACCCTAGATAGTTTTAGAGTCAGGTCTCACTATGTTTTCCAGGCTGGTCTTGAACTCCTGACCTCACATAATCTTCCTGCCTTAGCCTCACAAAGTGCTGGCATTACAGAAATGAACCATGCCTGGTCCAGATGGTAGTTTTAGTTACAGTAAATTTTACAGAGGATTCAGTTACCCAAGATGTTGTATATAGGCAGTCCCAAGGTTAACAGTGAGCTGGGTTCTGTAGGTTTTTCTTTTTCTTTTTTTTTTTTTGTAGAGACAGAGTTTCACTTATAGCCCTTGGTAGGGTGCCATGACGTCACAGCTCACAGTAATCTCCAACTCCTGGGCCCAGGTGATTCTCTTGCCTCAGCCTCCCAAGTAGCTGGTACCACAGGCGCCCGCCACAACGCCTGGCCGTTTTTTTTTTTTGCTGCAGTTTGGCCAGGGTTGGGTCTGAACCCACCACCCTCGGCACATGGGGCTGGCACCCTACTCACTGAGCCACAGGCGCTGCCCTGTAGGTTTGTTTTTAAGTTGGATTTGTATGTAAGGCTGGACGAGGTAGCTCACGCCTGTAACCCTAGCACTCTGAGAAGCCAAGGTGGGTGGCTTGCCCTGAGCTCGTAGGTTCCAGACCAGCCTGAGCAAGAGCCAGACTCCCATGTCTTAAAATAGCCGGGTGTTGTATCAGGCACCTGTAGTCACAGCTACTTGGGAGGCTGAGGGAAGAGAATCACTTGCACCCCAGAGTTTGAGGTTGCTGTGAGCTGTGACGCCACTGTACTCTGCCAAGGGCAACAAATTGAAACTATCTCAATTAAAAAAAATTTTTTTTATGTAAATTGGAACATTTACCTGTTACCTGTAATAGCCCTTGTTCACAGGTGCGAGTTGTACATAAGTCTGATATTCCTAATTCAGGGACTGCCAGTAGGTGAAAAGAGAAGCAGATTGGGTAGTGCCTGTGGCTCAAGGAGTAGGGTGTCAGCCCCATATACTGGGGGTGGCAGGTTCGAGCCCCACCCCAACTAAAACTGCAAGAAAAAAAAGAACCGGATCTAGAGTAGAATTCTAAGGAAGTAGCAT